GTCAATGACGAGAAGCTAGATAAATACGATCATTCGATGTTTGATGTCATTGTGTTTGACGAGATTTGTTTTAATAATACCTTTGTATTGGCAAAAATCAAGGGCTTTGTTGAGCAGTTCAAGGACAGTAAAATAATGTTGGCAACCGGTGACGCCAAGCAGTTGAGCCCCATAAAAGCACTGACTAACACTAAGAAACACGAGATTTATATGAATGAATGTATTGACAGCATTTTTCCTCATCATTTGTTTTTGGAAGAGTGCAAGCGATTGAAGACTCAGGAGGACAAGGATAAACTTAAAAGTATTTATGCCGACATCTTTGAGCATGAGTTGTCTCTACATGATGTCATCAATAAGTATTTTAAATATACTGATGACATCACAGGAACAGAAAGCAATGTCGCATATTTAAATAACACTTGTAGAGAGGTTTCAAGGCAGATCAGAAAACGACAGGGCAAACAAAATGAGTTTGAAGTCGGCGAGATTATGATATGCAGAGAGTATAGGAAGACAAAAACCTATAAGTTAAATGTGAATTTTAGGTATGAGATAATTAATATTTCCGATCCTTGGATTACCATTGCTAATATCAAAACACGAGAAGAGATTACATTACATATTGGTATCTTGAGAAGTCATTTTATCTTTGCCTTCTGTTATACTTGTCATTCTGTTCAGGGGTGTTCCATTGATGACGATGTCACCATTTTTGATTGGAACCATCATCTGATAACTCGCGAGTGGCTTTGGACGGGGATCACACGGGCAAGGGATTTAAACAGAGTAAAATTTTACAAATACAGTAGTGATTTAAATGAAGAGTTTAACGCAAAATGCATTATGAATTATTTTGATAGAAAGGTGTTAGCATACAAGGAACAGGATCGTAAAAATGGCTTTTGTATTCCAAAAGAAAATTATGTAGATGCCGAATGGTTGAAGGACAATGTCAACGGAAAGTGTGCAAATTGTGGCTGTGGTTTCGTGTTGTCAATGGATTCTGGTAATATAAATTCTAATCTGACTTGTCAAAGGTTATGTAATGATCTTCCCCATACAAAGGATAATGTCATTGCCTTCTGTGCTTCTTGTAATAGATGCTTCAGTGATAAAATAACATATTGATATTTATTTTATAGTATTATATATATGAGTGAAAAAGACAAGATAATCAGTGAGATCTACTACGATCAGGCTGGGTTTGGTAGCATTGCCACCACTTACAAAGATGCAAAGAAGAAAGATGCATCCATAACAATGCAAGATGTCAAGGAGTGGTTTCAAGAGAACGTGGAAAGGAAAAAACAACTGTCTGGATACAATTCATTCATTGCCCCTGATATCAACTATGAATATCAATTGGATCTGTTTTTTATATCAAAAAATGATTTAGATAATCAAAAATATAGGATAGGCTTATTGCTTATTGATGTATTTTCCCGCAAAGCCGTGGTGGTGCCTATTGCATCCAAGCAACCTGCCGACATCACGGCTGGGATCATGGAGGCATTAAACAAAATGGGAGGGAAACCCAAATTAATTTATTCGGATGACGAGGGGAGTCTCAATACCCAAGATCTTGTTGATTTTTTCAAGGACGAAGGGATCCAAAACTATAAAACACGAGGGCACCCCCATTTCGCCGAGCGTTTCATTCGCACGTTCAAGGACATGCTTTTCAAGAGGGTTGACGCAGACGAGAAAAAGGGAAAGGTTAATATACAATGGGTTGATTATATCCCCGAGATCATGCTGACATACAACAGTAAAATGGTTCATTCTGCCCACGATATGAATCCAAACGATGCCCACAAAAAGGGAAACCATCTTGAGGTCAAGATGAAGCTTGAGATGAACAGAATCAAAACCCGTAAATATCCCCCTGTTAGGGTTGGCGATGAGGTCAAAATATACCGCAAAAAAGGGATTTCCGAGAAAGAAAGAACGAGCAACTGGAGCAGTGTCAAATACAAGGTTTCAAGGGTTGAAAAAAAACTTGGTCAAGATTATTATTCTGTTGAAGGGATGAACCGCCCCTACTTGAGGTCAGAGATTCTGAAGGATTGAAAAAAATATCTAAACGGTTGTAATAGCTGATGAATCTATTAGAACTTTTTAGTGGGACGACCACCCAAAAATGAGGCTCCCGAGCGCGAACTCGGTCGTCATACCTGCGCAAATGGAGATGCGGGAAGGCTGATTTAACGGGTTGTTGAATGCAAGAGCGGTTCGCAACTCAACACCTCCCTGTCCCAATGCAACGTCAAGTTTTTTCACAGCTTGCCAAAGCAGTATGTGAGTGCACCATGTGACCTACAGCGTCCCTTCTTGAATGGATTTGGTCAAAGGGTGCTTTGAAACTGGTCAAAGGGTGCTTTGAAACTGGTCAAAGGGTGCTTTGGGTGTGCTTTGAAACTGGTCAAAGGGTGCTTTGAAACTGGTCAAAGGGTGCTTTGAAACTGGTCAAAGGGTGCTTTGAAACTGGTCAAAGGGTGCTTTGAAGCTGGTCAAAGGGTCGCTGGGTTGGCACATGCAAGGGCTTACATAGCGACATCAGAGCCGTGATTGGCCACATCTGTGCTGTTGTAGCCACGGTTCATGGCGCTTTGGCCTTGCTTGATGTAGTTGACACGCTCCAAGATCATTTTCACAACGTTGGCATCAACCTTGTCGCCAGTCTTGGAAAGCTTGGTCACATTGATTTGAAGGATGCTGTTGGCGAACTCCATGATGTTGCCGAGGCTGACGTGAGCCTCACACACACTTGCGATGCCAAACGCCTTGATTGCCACGCGAGACATCTTGTCGGAAACCGTGCCCCCCTTCTCCTTCATAATGTTCAAAGCGTCATCAACCTGCTGAGAGGTCATGGTCAGGAACTGGTTCATCAGCGCCTCCTCGGGGGAGGTGGTGGCAGTGGCAAGGAAAATCTCAAAGGTTTTCTCTGCATTTTTCGCGCAGGTCAGCTCCGACACCGAATTGCGATTGATTGTGTCCTTGGCATCCTCAGCGGACTTCTGGAGCTGAGCCACCTTGTTGCCCACCGTGTCCTTCTTCACCTTTGGCTTCCCACCTCCCACACCCCGCAAAGTAACCTTCACCTTGTCCTTGTCAGCCAAGAGCGTTTTGACATGATTGGCACCGCTGGTGAGGTAGGACTGAGTGCGAACCACAAAGAGCTTCAAGTCTTTGCCACTGCGCTGTTCTGCGGTGGCTTTGTTGGTGTGGACGCTTTCACCAATCATCGCACGGAACTTGCTGATGCTGATAGACACAGGCACTGACAAGGTCTTCTCCGTAAAGCCCTCAAACTCAATGGTGATGTTGAAGTGCGAAGGGGTTGTGGAAGAAGAAACCACCGTGGAAGCCTCCGTCTCAGTCTCGCTGGTCTCATTCTCGGTCTCGTCCTCGTCGTCCTCGCTGGTCTCAACGGTCAAGCAACGCTCCCTCTTTGCCATCAGCGCATCCATCATGTCACTGTCCATCTTGATGTGTCCCTTGGCGTTAATCTCCAGCAGGAAGTTGAGGCGCGCCGCATCCTCAGGCGTCCATTCATCGGCTTGAGCATCTCCAGAAGACGTCGCCTTCTCCTTCTGCTCGTGGTAGTCCTTGGAGCTGAAGATCTCCACGAAGCTTCCGCTTCCCGTAGGCTTCTTCTTCTCTTCCTCCTTTTCCTCTGTAGCATCGCTCAACTGATGCCCCGTGCCTTGGAAAGGAACCACCCCACCGGTAGAAGAAGCTGAAGAATCACTTGTGCGCTGACCTGCGCGCTGATTTGCCCTTTCTTGGATACGGCTCCAATGCGTCATGAAAGCCGTGACATAGTGGGATTTTGTAATGCTTCTGCCACCAGCGCCGCTTTCTCCCAGTGAAAGTCCGAGGGCCGAACATGTCCTCTTGATGTTGTCAACTGTCATCTTCTCAAGGTGAGCCTTAAGCGCGGCTTCATTGGAACTCACGTCATAGCGCTGAATGCTCTCGCCATCCGACGTGTCAACGATACTCCCAGATGTCAAGGCCAAAGCCTTGATGGAAGCATCTGAAGCACGTAGGAACACAAGCATGGCCGACATTGCTTCACAAGAAAGTCGCTAAGCCTATCACACTTCTTGACACAAAATGCTCAAAATGCTCACTGTCTGAGATGCCACACCATTGCTCTCACTGGGTGCCACATCATGTTCAAGGAAACACACTGCACTGATGGGCGCACTTAACTGAAGATGACCACGATGTCCACGTAGCCGGTGCGGGGTGACGCCCCCCTCCCCCTCCAAAAAATATGGATATTAGCCTTGTCCCTCCACATTTTGCCATCCAATGCTTCTAGGGTATTTTACTGGGATTGTTTTCAAGATTTGGGTTAACGGTTTTAATTCTCCCTTTTCCATTGGTTAACCATTTTTCGGGGCGAACATAGGGTTCTTTTTTAGACTGTTTGTATTTGTTGGAAATGGGAAAGGGTCTCAAGTTGGATCAAGGGAGAAATTATTGAGATCTTGGGGTTGCGATCTTGGGAATGAAAAAATGTTGGTATGTAGCTTGGATTTTTTTGGTGGGATTTGTTGAGGTGGTATGTAGTTATGATTGTTGTTATTGAATGAGCATAGGGGTGATGTTGAGATGGGGTAAGAAATGAAGATGGGTATATGAATATGTGTTTTTTGGTGTTGGATTGGTTGGGTGATTGGATTTGAATGTTGAAAATAGGTTGTTTTAGTGGGCGTATTCAGAATGTGCCCAAAAGTGTGGGGGGGACCCTATGACTGGATGGCAAAATGCGGACGGGAAAGCCCCTGTCTAACTCTTAGACCCCCCCCCCTTCGCCCCACCACAGCTCCTTCCATTTGCTTAAGAATATGTTTATTTATTTGTTTTATGTTATTTAACCAAAAAACCTTGGTTTTAAAAGGAGTTCATCACTACTGGACATATTGTCTCATTTTTTCCAGGGGTCTTAAAACCAAATGCGACGAAGCTCCTTCCGTCCGGAGGTATCTCCCGGTGGACGCGTTTGAGACGCTGGTGCCCCCGAAGACAACCCGCCAGGCGCTGATGTTCCGCTACTTCCAGGAGTGCGCCTCGGCGGCCTCGGCGCCAGCGAATCGAGACGTCGTCTGAAGCACCGAGGAGAGGAATCTCGTTTCTCCTGTTGGTTTTGCACCTGCGTTTGCGTCTAAAAAGGATATTCGTTGTTTTTCTCCTGTTGGTTTTTGTCTTTTCCCCTGTTGATTTTAAAAGACTTCCCCCTGTTGATTTTAAAGAGCATCTATCACTGTTGGACATATATTGCTTTTTGTAGGGGCCGAAGCAGGTGGAGGGCTTGCATTCATTGCCATTTGTTAGTAGCCTTTTTGATATCTTTCTGGGGTCAGTATGTTGACTGTTTCGAGGAGTTATCAAAGTCAGATATTTCAATCGGTTGTTTTCCTTTCGCCTACCACTGAACGGGGATGATTTTGACAATGGTACAATAGTGGGGCCTGTTTTTGCCAGCTTTTGGCTTTCCTTCATTTTCGCTTTACACAAAGTGCCCCTTTTTTGCGGGTCTGAGAAATGTCAGAAACTGAACTTTTCCCGTCTGCTTTGACAAGCTGCTTGGCTCTCCAGCAGCGAACAGCGGGGAGCGTGTGAAGCTTTCAGCTCACGATTGAACACCCAGGTCGGAAGGTTTTGCCCAAACCGGCGAACAGATCAAGCCCAGGAACGCGGGAAGCAAGCTCCGAAAGGCTCCCAGTTGAGAAAAGCAAATTTGGAGAGCCCCACCTCCGAAACGGCTCCCTCCCAGCCACGGTTTCAGAAAGGAACCAGCATAGCCCCATCCCCCACCCCCCCACCCACACTCCCCAACCGCAGCATGAGACCTGATCGAGGCAACGAGGTGGCCCACAAGATCCGGGAGACGACCACCCTCCGCGATCCGACGCTTACCTCCCAAGTCCCATGGGCGTCTTGTTTTTGGGGGTACCCATGGTTCTAGGGATACCTTCCGCATTCTTTCCAAAAATCCTGCTTTCTAGAAAACCTCCGGAAACCCGATCGAGAAAACGGATCCGGTTTTTGGAAAGGACGATGGTTGAAAAGAATGGAAAAGGAATCACCCCTTAGAATGTTTTGTGGTTTTTTAGAAGGAAACCGAGAAGGAAACCATGATTTTTTTTGGGGGGGTCGCCCAAGAAAGACACATGGCACATGGTGAAAAGGGCCTGGATCTTTGGCTAAATGGCAAACTTTGTTTTTTTCCTTGACCCAAGGGAACCGAACAGGGGATGGGTATTGTTTGTTTTTTCCAGGCCTTGACAGGGGTCTCAAATTTATGTCCTTTCTTTCGTTCAACTTTTGAAGGGGACTCTCCCTTATCAATAGCAACCAGAATGCGACCATTTACCCAAAGTGGGACATATTTCTTTCCCTTCTTTTCACTCGTTCCAAAAACCGGATCCGTTCTCCCTGGGTGTCCCGAGGTTTTCTGGAAAGATCCTGATCCCTGGGTTCAGAATGGATATGGAAGGTGCCGCTGGAATATGCCCAGTCTCCGGGCCCCGATCTCCGCTGACAAAGGTTTTTTTTTTTTTTTTCCCCCCGCAAAGCGTCCATTTGTTGAAATGCATATGTTTTTTTTTTTTTTTTTTTTAACAAAAACAAATCCCTTGTTGGTTTTAAAAGGAATTTATCACTACTGGAAATATGTTTTATTTTCCCTTGTTGGGTTTATGTTTTTGACGAATGGCTACAGATTAACAAAGAGGAACCTCCTCTTGGGTGAACTGAAAGCCACCAATGGCCAACCTTCCATTTGCTCAAGAATATGTGTTATTTCGTTTGTTGGGTTTAAAAGGAATTTATCGAAACTGGAAGCATGTTCTATTTTTACCAGGGGTCTTAACCAAATCGAAGAAAGTGGTCAGAGTTACGTTTTGGGGTTTCGAGAAAAGTGGCGGAAAGCGTTGCTTGGCATTCAGCTGGTTTCCCTGCAAAGCAGTCCCAAGGGCAGAATTCCCAAAGCCACATGTGCTCAGCTTGCTGCAAGCCATCGGCCCAACAGACCAAATGGAGCAAGCAGTTTTCCGCTTGCCGGGGCAATAGCCACACGGCTAGGCTCATTCAAAGGGGCTGAATAATAAGTACTAACACGATTGTCGGATGGATGTGTCGCAAAAGAGGTGAATCCTCCAAAGTGCTGGTCTTCCTTTTGACTCACCTCAAGCCAACCTGTAATTAGTAAAAGGCCTCCCTCATATACAGAGACACACACACGCAGACACACGGAGACACGCAGACACACGGAGACACGCAGACACACACCACGCAAAACACACACACACACCACGCAACACACACTTCAATGCCTCCAAAAGGAGAAATGAGCTCGCTTTCGATTGGATGCCTTTCGAGTCAAACGGGTCGAGTGGCTTCGAAGGGTGCAAGCACCACCTGAATTTCAACAGGGGCGAAGCACACACACACAGCGTTGCGAGAAACCAAGCCCTGTAACTGTTCCAGCATTGCACAGCAAACTGGATGGGAAAAGTAAGTGGTGGCATCAGGGTTGAACTGACCCTCCGCACACACACACACACATAAAATTGGTGTGGCTCAAAATTAAAGAGCTAGGGTCACGCGGTTTTAGTCTTTGTTTCCATTTACCAGGGTTCAATTTTGGGTACCCATTTTTGAGCCACAGCCAAACATATGACTGGTTTTCGCTTGGCCCCAACCGCCCGCCCCCCCCCCCGCCCCCCAATGCTTCAGTCCCAAAGAAGCCTCGGCCCAGGCTGAGCTTCGCAGCCTTCTGCAAGACCGGGACCATCCACATGGGCTCCGAAGGCCGACCGTCCTTGGCGACCGGGGGGACGTCTGAAGGCCACGGCGGCTGTGTTTGACGCAAACCCTTGCAGTGGCCAGGGGGTCCTTCCATTTGCTGAGGAGAATATGCTCTTATTTCTCCCTTGTTGGTTTTAAAAGGAATTTATCAGTACTGGAATTATCTTTGCCAAATGGAAGATTCCAGGGGGTGATTCCTTTTCCATTCTTCTCAACCATCCTTCTTCCTGGGTGTCCGGAGGTTTTCCAGAAAGAAGGATTTTTGGAAAGAATGGGGAAGGTACCCCCAGAACCATGGGTTCTTCGAAATGGCGCTGCTGGCATTTGAAGGGAAGAACGCAACTGCATGTAGTTCTATTTTGGGAAACGCCCAGACGGTGCTCCCCCCCGCGCAAGACGGTATCCTTCACTTTCCAGGGAAAACCCTCATCCCATTCATCCACAAGTTTGTTGGTTGCGGGGTGTGCAAACATTTCCTCTCATGGTCAATGGATGTGTCACCACTGCAAGAACACTTGAATTGAGCAGGGTTGTCTTTGCTCGGCTGATTAGTCGGGGAACAAATCGAAGTGCTCTTGAAAGAGGTCTTGAATTCCTCGTCAAGAGGGGAGTTTCCCAAAATGGTGGACCCGCTTGCAGTTGGTATTTGAGGACGCCCAAAGATCACCAACCATTTGAAGGGACCCAAACTTGGATGTTCGGCTACGTTAGTAAGTGGTTAGCCACATAAGGGGTATAACCCTCCTTAAAACAAGGTCAACGCTTCTTACGGGACTCATAAATGAGTTATAACCTAAGTTAGGTATGCTGAAACATACTTCTCAGGCGGAGCTTGCAAACAACTTGCTGAGCCCGTCGCCTCGCTCAAGGGATTGGTTTCGATCAACGGCAACCAAAACCCAGGCTGAGCAGGTGGTTGTGTGTGTGTGCGGGTGTGTTGGCTTTTGAGGATTTTGTTGAACGCCAAAAGAACAATCGCCACTACGAGGAAAACATATCACAACACACACCCGTGTTCGTTTTTTCCGAGAAGGACAGGTGAAACCCTTTGGTCCGGCCTGACAGTTGAATAGAACACACCATTCGAACTAGATGGGTGTTTTGCAAACGGATCGCCTCTCCAAAAACGAGCCGTCCAAGACCATGCGTTCAACGTTCAAAGGTTCTCTTATCCTTCTTAATGCACAAAGAGCGTTTCAGGCCCGCTCAGCTGCCGTGCGGGGCAAAAGTCATCCGGGTCCAGAAATCCTAGGATTCCTTTTGAATTCATGGCCTCAAAGTCTTATTCTGAGGTTTAGGGTCCTGAGGGGTAAGAGGATTCTGAGCCCCATGAATCACACGACAACCATCAATCAACTGGCGGCGCACCCGTCGGGATGGATGAAGCCTGGTGGAAATTGGGAAACTGGTGCGGGAGGTCTTCCATCCACATGGTTATGGATCATACCCCATGCCTCCATCGGGGCGGATGGACACTCATGTACCACCTATTTTGATGTTCACCAGGGGTACAGGGTTTTGACAACCACAGCCACATGAGAGGCAACTCCAAAGAGATCAAGCTCGCGCACAAGCTCGCGCTGCAGCGGAAGCTCATCGTGGTCTTCGGCGCCACAGGCGGCTCGTCGCCAGACCTATCTACCCACCCATCTCCTCTGGGTGAATTATCACACGACCTCACACGACCTCACACGACCAAATTCACCCCGAATGGTGATTTATGTGGGGAATATCCCTCCAACCTTATTTAATGGCCTGCGGCCTGGTTCCGCCGCCCCCACACACTTTAGAATTTCGGCCCGGGACGAGAGAAAGCACGCGATATGTAGACAGACACAGACAGACACAAAGACACGCAGACAGACACGCAGCGGGGGGGGGAGGGTCTTCGCGGACACGAAGACAGACGCAGATGCGCAGGCAGACGCAGACAGAGCCAGACAGACACAAATACACAGACAGACACAGGGGGGGGGGGACACGAAGAAAGACGCAGATACGTAGACAGACACAGACAGACACAGACAGACACAAAGAGACAGAGAGGACACGAAGACAGACGCAGACAGACCCAGACAGACACAAAGAGACACAGACAGACACGCAGGGGCAGGGGGGGTCTTCGCGGACACGAAGACAGATGCAGATACGTAGACAGACATAGACAGACACAGGGGGGGGCGGAGGGGTGGGGGAAGACTACCCGAAGCCTAGGGAAGAAGCCCGAAAGCACAGGACACGCGCGTTGTTTGGTCCCGAAACAGTATCGGAAGACTAGGAGAAGAAGCCGGAAAGATTGCGGAAATTTACGGGAAGAAGCTTGAAAGATTTCGGAAGACTACGGGAAGAAGCCGGAAGACTACGGAAGACTACGGAAGACTACGGGAAGACTACGGAAGACTACGGAAGACTACTGGAAGAAGCCGAAAGATTACGGAAGATTACGGGAAGAAGGCGGAAGACCGCGGAAGACTACGGGAAGAAGCCGGAAGACTACGGAAGATTACGGGGGAGGGGGGGAAGAAGGGAGGGGGAGGGGGTAGGGGGGGAGGGGGGGCAGGGGGCGGGGGCAAGGAGGGGGAGGGGGCTAGGGCCACCCCACCCACCCCACCCCCACCACCTCTACCCTGACCAACACCCTTCTGAACACCCCTCCCCCCGATCACTACTCCCCAACCACCCCTGCAATGACTACCCTCTATCGATCACCCTGATCCGGACTACCCCCGGATCTGATCATCTTCTGATCTGACTTTCTGACCCAACCATCTCTGATCTGACTACCCCCTCTGATCTGACTACCACCCCCTCTCCATCATCATCTGACTACTGATCTTCTCATATCACTACCCTCTTCATCATCATCTCCCTGATCATCATCGTGGTACTTACTCCCGCTTGATCTGACAGACTACCACCTGATCTGATTGCAGACTCATCATCTCTCATCATCACTCCCCCTGATCATCATCTCCTGACCCAACCATCTCTCACCTGACCAACTACCTGCGTCTGACTACCCCACCCCAACCCCCAACCAACCAACCCCCCACCAACCCCCCACCAACTCCCCACCAACCCCCACCAACCCCCCACCAACCCCCACCCCCCCCACCCCCCAACCCCCCCCCAACCACCCCACCACCACCCCACCCTTCCCCACCACCCCCCAACCACCCAACCCCCCCCCAACCACCCCACCACCACCCCACCCTTCCCCACCACCCCCCCAACCACCCAACCACCACCCCCCCAACACCCCCCCAACCACCACCCCCCAACCACCACCCCCCCCCAACCACCCCCTCCAACCACCACCCCCCACCCTTCCCCCCCCCCACCCCTTCCCACCCCACCCTCTCCCCACCCACCCCCCCCACCCCACCTCCCCACCCCACTCCTCCCTCACCCTTCCCACCCTTCCTCCCCCCCACCCTTCCTTCCCCCCACCCCTCCCCAATTACCCACCACCCCACCACCACCACCACTCCACCCCCCACCCCCCACCACCCGCCACCCCCCCACCACCCCTCCACCACCCCACCACCCACCCACACCACACCCACCACCCACCCACCACCACCCAGCCTTGGGAACCTTCTTCCTTACTGATGTGCTCCGAGAGATGTCTGCATTTGCATACGGATTGTTGTTGTCAAAACCCACCCACCACCACCCACCCCCACCACCCCCCCCCCACCACCCCCCAACCCACCCCCCCACCCCCCCACCCACCCCCCCACAGGGGGGGGGAGGGGGCGGAGGGGGGGGAGGGAGGGGGAAGGGGGGAGGGGGGGGGAAGGGGGGGGAAATCCAGAATTCCAGAAATCCAGAAATCCAGAGATCCAGAAATCCAGAAATCCAGAAATCCAGCCGACGTAGAAACCAGCCCCAAGGGCTGCCCCAAGGGACATATAGGTTATATATATATATACATATACATAATCATATTCACATTAAACTTATAGAAAGCATATCAACAAAATCAACACAGAACACACCGCCCCCATGCCGAAAGCATGGTCCATTCTGGACCAGGCATGGGGTCGGCGGATTTCAGGCTGGTGAAACATTATAATTCACCCAGATCTCCCAGTTCAAAAAGTGGGCACAGGTCAAAATGAAACCACCAGGATATGGACCGCAGTTTTTAAGCCCTTCCATTTACCAAGGCTCCATTTAGGGTACCTATTTTTGACCCACAGCCAAGTGACGTCTCATGTTTTTTGCCCAGCGGCACCCGTGTTTGTTCCTGTTTTTTTCTTGGTTGGGAGGGCTCGACTTGGTGCCTCATAGTTTCTTAGGTTTTTGAGGCTTAGTGGTTTCCATTGCTCCCCCGAAAAGTTCGTCACTTTCAGCAGATCCGCAAACGTGCAGCCCCAGTCAGAACGACTTTTGGGGATGGTTGCATGGTGTGTTGGTGCTCTTGCAAGACAGCTTTCCTAGGCGCTTGGCTTGTTTCCTAGGGCACGGCTCTATGTCAAGTATTGCTTACCTGCAAGCCAAAACAGGGGAATTCGCCGGCTCTTGCTGCCCAGATATTTCCAAGTCACCCGATGATTCGTCTTGAAGCCTTCCTTCAGACACTTGGTGAACGAAGGAACCCCCTACCCTTGCTAGAGCGGCCTGTGGGCTGTAGTTGGCAAATGTTAGTGGTCTGTTGGCAGGTTGCTTCTTCATGTTTGTTCTCGCGGGTTTCTGCTTCCCTGAAAATACGCAAAGGACCGCAGGTCAGCGCGTGACACCATGCCAGTCTGATTGGCAAAGACTGGGTCAGCAAACTGATTCGTTCCGCCCAAACTCAGGTCAGTATGACGTGAATGTCAACTAGCCCCGAAAACCCATGGGTAGAAGCGACTTAACAAGTTGCACGCCCAAACTCAGATCGCCCACCCCAGCGTGGCAGGTTGCAAGCAAACGCCCTCGCCGAAAAGCCCAAATCAACCCCGAACCCACCCCCAAGGCTAATATAGCAGCACTAAACCAACCCTGAGCCCACCCCCAGGTCCCCCCCTTCCGCCTGGCCACGGCTCCCGAGGCCAGCAGGGCAACGCCGTGGCCAAAGCGCTGCTCGCGGCCAACTTCGGGGTGCGCTGCGTCACCCGCCGCCCCAACTGCGCGGAGGCCAAAGACCTCCGGGCGCCTCGAGCGGACGGCGGACGGCGGACGAGCGCGGGGCATTTGGGGGATGGGGGTGACTGCTCAAAGGGGCGATCGATTCGGCACAGCAGGTAAGAGGTTAGTAAGTCTGGTTATTGCCCACTGATCACGGTTATAAGTCTTCCAAGTCGGCAAGAACCAAGCGTACTAACCACTTTGTGAAAATTGGAAGGGGTCCAAATGTTAGGAAGTATTCAGGAAATTTCTTTGGGTCTGGTGGCCCTTGTTTGATGGATTGTTCAAGAATGACAACCAACACCCAAACTGAACAGGTGTCTGTGTGTATCGGTTGGCTTGCTTTTGTAAATACCAATGTTGACTAAGAGATCTTGATTTGGGCGGATCATGTTGGAGTTACCCACAATTGTTGCACAGGTTTAAAGGAAAACTAAAAGGAAATCCAGGCTTGCAGGAGGGCAGAAAAAACATGTGGTAGGTGTTTTGTGGAGCAGGGGTTTGTGTGTGTGTGTGTGTTCCCCCTCAATGCTTCACCTGGCTTTGGGTAGACAACTTTAGTACCAGGTTTTGATTGTGACTCATGCTTCTTGGAGATTAGACATCATAGGTGCGCCTGTTTTCTTGGAGTTAGTAGCCTTCTTCGCCCCAAGCTAAACGGTGCCAACCAATTTAAGCATAGGGCGATGCATGTTAGTCCGGGAAAACGTATTGAAAAGTATGTCCGTTGGTGGACATCAACTCCCGTGCAACCGGGTTGGTCGGCTTTCCTTTGGAGCGCTGTTTGGACATTTCTCCTCGGACGACCGGTGTTCGCTGTGCTGGCGTTGTGACTGTTGTGTTTTTCTTGGATACTTGTGTGTCACTGCTGTTGTGCTTCGGGTTCAAAAACACGAGTTTTTGTTTCTTCTCAGTTTGGTTCTGGATATTCCCGCCCCAAAGCCAAGCGTGTGACGTCTATGTCGGGTGGCCTGTGAAACAAGGGAATAGACAAGCTCTTGCAAAAAACGATTTGGCATCAAGATGAGAGTCGTCTGCTCAGGTACCCGCATTTTTTCCACATTGCCCAGCACAGCCTGCACCCATGCAGCTTTAGTTTCTGTGCCCCTTCAGTTGGGTATGGCTCAAAATGAAAGAGCTAGGGCAATGGTTTCCATTTACCAAGGTGGCATTTTTAGAGCCACTGCTAATTCGGCTGAGTGGGGGTGTGGATTTCATGATTTGTTGCTTCCTCGGGTCGGTGTTGTTGCTAAGGATACAGCCAACTCCGGCTTAGTGGGGGTGTGGTTCATGATGGTTTTTGCTTCCTCGAGATGGTTTTTTTTTTATTTTTAAGGATCGGGGCGCGGAGATCATGCCCGCCGACATGACCAAGAAGGCCGAGCTGGCCTTTGCGCTGAAAGGGGCCTATGGCGCCCCTCGGCTGGACGAAATCTGGGGCTGGGAGGCGGGTTCCATTGGAAGCGCCTAGGTCCCCCAGCTAGGTTCTCACCCCTTTTTTGGTTGGGAGGGTTCCCCTACTAAAATAGACGTCCTGAAAAAGGTTGGTACCCTCATTCTAACCTCTCTGCTCGAGGACCTAGAAGCCTTTTGGCGCCAATCGAGGGTTGACCAGGAGGGACATGGACGGATCACAAATTCGACAAGCCAACTTGGGAGTTTGCTCTACTGCTAGCGGGGTGGATCTTTCAACTTTGACCTTTTGGATCTCCAGTGCTCCGTTTGAAGGTAAGGTGCAGCCTTTAGGGGCTGGTTTCAAGGGAAGCAAGCAAGTTGTTGGACCAGATTTGTTGCTGTTCTTAAGAATATTGTTGTTTTCCCCTTTTGGTTTTAGAGGGGCTCTATCACTTCTGTTTTCTCCAGGTGACTCGAGCAGATGGAAGAAACCGCTTTTGCGGTCTTTGAGAGAGACCCACATCTGACAACATGCTTCTATCGCGCGGAACTTGCCACAAAAGGCAGTCGTGTGTTAGCTATCTTCGGACTCTAGTCACTCTTTGGTTGGACCATTTTAGTAGTAAATCGAAAGTTCGGTTACTTTGTTGGCCGATCCACGATCGGAAGTGTGTAGTGTTTCGAGTCCCACCAATTTGTAGTCCGGAGAATTTGGGGACCCCGCAAAGTAGTTGTTTACCTTGGGTTATCGAAGTATTTGGTTCTATTTTGAACTGCAAACACAACGTTTTGGTTGTAAGGCACCTCTTCAAGGTGTTTCCGGGTGTTTCCGGACCCATCTCCTTTCCGGACGTCGAGGCCTTCTTCGTGACCTTCTTTTGGGATCACTTCGACCCACACATGGAGACGATGCAGGCCAAGGCGCCCGAGCTAGGTCACACTTAGGTTGAAGCCGTTTTCAAAGCGAAGTCATATGGCTGTGGTTGTCAAAACCAATGGCCTGGATCGCCAATTGCGATCGCTTTTTTTCCATGCACCTTACCCCAAAAACCAGCAACAGTGACTGAAAAAAGCAGCAACTTGGCTATCTAGGCGGATCGCATTTTGGTTGGCAGGTGCACCACCCATATTAGGCTTCATTTTAGTGGGGATTGGGACGTTCACGGGGGGTACAGGCTTTTGACCCATGGCCATATTAGTCGCGACTTGTTTTCAGAGTCCCTTGGGTTACGCACCCATGGTTCGCAAATCAGGTAGGTTCTGGGCTCTGGGGGCTTCCCATTTGCCCTCTATAAGAACCACGGGTGCGAATTCCTAAGCCACCAACCCAAACCACCAGGGCTAAGCTGACAAAAGGATACATTTGGGCCGGTGTAATCCCCCAAAGACCAGCTCATGAGGATGCTTTTGTAAAGCAGGTGCTTATTGGACGTATTACCCGGTGCAAAATTTGGGCGCACCACCAACTGACGCCGAACTTCCCCTCGTGGATTGCTCACGCGAGTTCCTGGCCTTTAAACCCATAGAAATGGCTTGGAGGCACCCCCACCAAACAACCTCCTCTTTCATAACAAGACCTCAACATGCCCATCCCATCTTAAAAACGTGCGCGGGAGCCGCGCTCCAATGCATTTTCTGAAGACACCTCAACCCCCCCAACCCACCCCACCAACCCACCCACCACCCCATGGCCCGTCCCAGATGTTCGCCGAAGCCTCGGGCCATCTGCACCACGCGGTGTGGTCCACCGCGGAGAACACCCGGCAGATCGTCCTGCCCAAGGACCCGAGCGGCCTCGGATCGGCGTCGCAGATCAGCCATGGCCATGGGTCAAAAGCCAAATCGTACCCCCAGTGAACATCCCAATCCCCACTAAAACAATGCCGAAAATGGGTGGTGCAGCCCACCCCAAAATGGGATCCCATTGGTTTTGACCCACAGCCATATGCGAACTTCCCAACCAAAACCGCAAGGGATGGAGATGATTTCCTCCTTCCTTCTTTCCAGAGCCTGTCTTTTGGTATGTCTGACGCATGCGGATCGGTTTGCGTTTTGCTTCCACCAAAGCATCTGCTCCCAAATTGAGCGCCAACCCCAAAAGGGCTGTTTGTGTGAGTCGGTTTGTGCCTAGCTGGTTTGGTTGGAGTAGTAAGGCCTAGCAACGTTTCAGCCCAGCCCCTTTTTCTGGCGTAGAATGCTTGAAGTTTTTCAGCCCAGCAGAGCTGAAGCGAGAAGTGACCCTTCCAAACAAAAAAGGCATGGCTCGTCATAGGAATCGGACCATGGAGTTCGTTTTTGTGGCTTCAACCATGAAACCCATGCCAGGAAGGGGTTGCCCTACAAGCCCACCAAAGAGCCCCGGAGAGAGGACAATTGTTTGACCCGTCAGGTTTGTCACTTGGGAAAATTGTTACAAATGAATGTCTTCTCTCTCTCTCTCTCTATCTCTCTTCCATTTCATTACATGTGTTATTTTCACCCGCTGGTTTTGAAGAGAACCTATCACTGAAGGCGTGAGAACTCTCTTTTTCAGGGGACAACGCAAGAGGCGATTCAGGAACGCTTGCCCAGGACACAGGGCCCTCAACTTACATTTATTTTCCGTGACGCGAGCATAGGTGTCCTGTTTGGCACTAGGTGAACCAGGTAAACCAGGAATCGCCATCTATGTTCCACCTAAGAAGGACACCCACTTTGCGACAACTGTTGGTTTGATTGAGACCCGTTGGCCGTTTGGGGTTGCCTCCAACAACATGTTTGCTCGGAAAATACTCCAGAAAACCAAGGTTTCCCTCAAAGCAATTGGAGCCTTCAAAAAGGTTGTGATGTCCTTTTAATTCCCCAGAAAAAACATCACCTTCCCTTTGATTCCTCGAAAGTTTTCAGGGTACCCCAAAGAAAAGACACGGCCTTGTTTGACCTGCCCCAACTTATCTCCGGCTCGGTGTTTTTGGTTTGTTCGTGAGGATTCGCGGCTGCCTCTGGTGCACGGCAAGTATCGGGTGCCTCCCTTTGACGGCAAAGGCGGGTTCGGTGGACCGTTCTCCGCACAGATTTCGATTGGTCAGGCTGTCCGGGCCATTTCTCTTCCAAGCGAGCCTAAAGTAGCGATGGCTTCAAGGGAAACCAGGAAGATGGTCAACTTTTGATTTGGGGAATCCAGTGACCCCTGGTGGATTGGAATCCATTTGTTCGGCCCTACAGGTCAGAGGAAGCTCCGAATGTAGATCATTGCCCTAAGGGAGAACTCCGTTTGGCATTGCCCTTTTTGGGATGGTTCAAAGGAAAGCCGAAAGGACAACCACGCATTTTGAGGGTCCAGATATTGACGTGCCATAGGAATCGGTTGATTTTGGGAATGAACCGGGAGGGGATTCTGTAAAGACATTCGCAGCTGGGTCTTTGGGGTCCATTCCCTCATAAGCAAAATCAGAATTCGCGTTCGCAATCGGTCAAACCTGCGAGCTCGTCGCAGCCTGCGAGCTTGAGGGGGTGTTACTTGAAGGTAGAGCTATGCACTTTTTGCGAACGCCCATAATTGACACCCGAAGTTCCCCTCTGGGTTTGTCTCACTCAAAATACAAAGCCCAAAAAATGGTTGGTTTCCTGTTAGTGTCAACCCCAAAAAGGGTTTCCCTTGAGAGAGCCCCACTTAAAAATGGATGCGGGGTGTTGTTTTGGAGATCATGCGTGAGCCTTTGGACCCAACTGGAATTGCAGGCGTAACTTACGGGACTTTAAGACGCTCCGAGCTACAAACAGCCCAGGTTTTTCGACCTCAAACCATTCTGAATGACTTCCCGGAGTTCCTGGGCTTGAAACTGAGACCATGCTTGTGGACCATAAAAAGTTCGGACTTCAGACTTTCCTTGCCCAACCCACTCATGAGGTGAGATGGGCGTCGTGGGTTTTGGAAGCTCCAGTATTTGGGTGCCTACCTGATTTTGTGTACACGGAATGGTCATGACTGGTCATGAAGGCCAGTTTTTTTCATCAGCTGGTTTGGGGGGGGGCGGGGGGGGGGGGAATTTGCAAGAAATCCACCGGAGGTTTTTTGGAGGACAAGGCATGCGTGTTCTGCCAGAAGCCAACCCACAGATGAAACTTGATCCAAGCGATGCGTTTGGGAGGGCCTTTGATTGGAACAGCGGCTAATCCATTTGCGACATCTTTGCCACCACTAAAATGCTAGGTGGAAGATACGAGTCGCAGAAAAGGCCCATGAAAAACAACTCTGTTTTCAACACCATGTCTCGAGTTGAACATGAAACATATACAGACAAAAGGATGTCAAAAATCTCAACTTCTCAAGGGTTTCGGGCTGAACATGGGGCATGTGCGAAAGAATCATTGGGTGTGGGCGTTTTGAGGTGGTTCCCTTGAGAAGTTGCTAGCCTTTTGAGGTTGGAAGCTCACAGGGCGTTTTCGTTTTGCGCTGGCGGGCAATGCCCTCAGCCAGTAGAGAGAAACGTCCGACTCAAGCAAATGGAGGGAAGAGAGAGGGAAGTCGAGAGAAGATCTGCCTTGTTGGGTTTGGGCCCAGTTCAATCATAGTCGAAGATGCAAAGGGCAACCAAAATCCCCACCTGAATGGAATTGGGGCAGGGTGACGGGAATTTCATTCATTTCCCTTGCAAACTAGATGTAACTGGGCGAGCCCTAGGTGCACGACCCATTTCTTGGAACCTGTCGACCAAGGACCGCGGAATCTCACCCCCTACTTCCATTTGTGGAAAACAATACGTATGTTGTAGATGTTCCCCTCTGGGTTTTGTAGGAATTGCTACTGGACATGTTTTTGTTGTTTTCTTTCCAGGGGACAAACACGCAAATGGAAGATTATATTCCTACTAAGGAGAACCAATCCGGACTCGAAACGATCCTCCGGTGTCCGAAGTTGGCATGACAGATTGGGGCCATTCCTTAGGCAGATCCACACGGGTGTTGAATCAACGGATTGCCTGTTAATCGATGTTCATTAAGTGTGTTCAAATTCCGACAAAAATAGAAGCAAAATGACAAAATGATAGCGATGTGAATAATGGTGACAGTAATGATAATGATAAACATAATAATAGCTGCGGCTGCTGATGCTGACCCATCTGATGCCGGGCAAGCGAGAGTCAGAGTCGGGGTTCAAGCTTCAACAAGTCCGCCAGGAAGGGGCGACACGTATTTCACTGATTTGGGCGTGCCGACCACCTTTCTGATGCCGGGGATCTTTTATGCTGCTCGGCGAGGAACAAAGTCCATGAGGTTGTTGTTTGGAACTTCCGGCAAAGGAAACCATACGGTTCCGTCTTTTTCGAGGGTACCATTTTGTTGTGCAACTGTCAAAGGGAAACCAGGAGGAAACCAACCTGAAATCGTTCTTTTCCTCATTTGAGGCAAACCCATATGTCTTCAGTTGTTTCTACAAGAAAGCACATTTTTCAACTTTACCTGAAGGAACCCATACTTGTTGTCGGTTGTCCAAAATGAAACCAACAGGAATTGCTATTGTCAATTTTTCCAGGCAAGAGAGAGAGAGAGAGAGAGAGCGGGTGCCCGCTCGCAAGTGCCGAAGGTAGTCTCATGTGTCATGGTAAACATGGACGCATTTTATGCCCGATTTTTTCGAGCAGAGTTGTTTGTGCCATGTTTGCTCACTCCCTGACATCCTGGATTTTAGTCACTTTTGGGTTTAGGCCTTTGTCGTGGTAAACACAATTTGTGGTGACTGTTCTTTTTCTTTTTTTGCGGGTCCAGGAAGTGAGTTGTTGGTTGGCGAGGAATTGGGGCATGCGAATTGGAACTCCGGGTCTCCAAAAGTGGCGCGTCTTGAAGGAGGCTTCGCAGACCCACTGGTGGTGTATGTGTCCTTTTTGGGAGGGGGTAGGACTACCAATAGTTCAGGTCACCCGTAGGGAAGCCATCCCGCGGAACCAGCAATCCAAAACCACCAACGGGAGGTTGCTGTTTGTTCTAGGGGAATCCCCATTCTTTCCAGGCATCCTTCTTTCTAGAAAACCACCAAAAACCCTGGGGAAATGGCTGGTTGTTGAAAAGAACGATGGCTGAAAAGAATGGGCAAAGGAATCAACCCCTAGATTTGTAGGCCAATCCACTTCGGAGGCGGCAGAGTGTGCTCTTTGTTTCCATGGCGCGTTCGCCAAGGAGAGCTTTCTCCATTTCCACCTGGGCCCCCGGCGCAAGCATCGGGGGAACCCAGACAGACGGCCCGTCCTCAGCCTTCCCATCAAGGCGCACAGATCGTTTCGCAGGGCTTCCATGTAAAGGGGCAAGAGGCTTCGGAGCAGCGGCCCTTCTCTCCTGGCAAAAAAGGGGGAAAAAGGAGACCAAGCATTCCTTCTGTGTTTGCTATGTTCACGTGTTCAAAAAAAACACCTGACAAGACGATTTGAAGGATCCAATTGACTGCTTTTTGGCTGGAGGCTTGGCAAGTTCAACCCGTGCTTTTCAAACAGCCGTTGGCTTTTGGGTAGGGTGTTTGCAGCGGTTTGGGCGTTTCTTTCGGGCCCCTTTCGGGGTGTTTGTTCAAATTGGGGAGCCATATTTAAGGGCATGGCTTAAGAGCATATTTGGGCTCGCCCTCTCCTTCCCCAAGCCCCAGCCGGTGGTCGGTTGCTTCCTTTAGGTTGTTCCCTTTTTACGCGCAGAGCAGTCAGAGTTGGCACCCAAAAGGACAAGTTCAGGTGATCGGGGATCTTCAAAACGATACGGGTGAGTGTTCTGTTAGGACACCGTCCCCCAAATGGTTGGTGTCCTTTTGGTTTCCCGTGAAATCTAACAAACAGGGTACCTTGAGAAAGGATGCACACCCATGCGGGCTACATGAAGCAGAGATCTATGAACCTGTGGTCCCACTCTGGGGGGCCGAGTGGCGCAATTTGCATGATCTGCAGACGTACTGTCCCTTGCAGTGGCAAGGGCTTTGATCAGGTTCCCACCAATGGGTGGTTTGGATTGGTGCTTTGGATTCGGATTTGAACCCCTGCTACTTGTCCACGGTGAATGGGAAGCCTCCCCCGAACCTCCAAACCACCAATCCACTAGCTGACGGGAAACCGAACATTTGACATCATCACCTACCAAAACAATCCGACGCAAGCCTCTTGGCCGCACCACTGTGGGGCAAACTTTGCCGCTGAAACGACCCTTCTGTTTTTTTTCTCCCCGTTTTGGGGTGGCGGGGAAAACCGGAGGCCACGGTTAGAGCCTTGATCCGGAGACCTGGAATCCGTTCGATGCAGATAAGTGTTGCGGTGTTGCATATGCCGCCAGCTTTACACAGATTTGGGTGTGGTTCCTTTAAGCTTGGACCCCCCGACATGGCACAAATTATCCTTTTGGCTTCTCATAGAGCCGCAAAAAGGAGATGGCCACAACAAGAGGAGCCCAGTTGGTTGGGCCTGGGATGGTATCCAATTTGTGGCGTGTTTGTGCGGTGTTGCACCCTTGCTATAAGGCCGCCATTGCGGATTCCGTGCATGGGCTTGGGCAGGTTTGGGCAGATCGCTTTTACTTTGGTGCATGTTGCTTGGATGTTAGGACTTTAACATGTTTTGGCAACTAATGGATTTTCCAAGAAAAACACTAAAAGTTGGTCACTTTTAGCAGGGCTTCGCAGATTTCGCAACCGAGTTTACACCTCACGGGCAAACTGTGGGTTTGGGTTTTGATTCTGATTCGCCGCTGTTCATATGGCTGTGGGTCAAAAATAGGTACCCAAAATGCAACCCTGACAAATGGAAACTTTAGAGCCCGGCTCAGTCCGCCGACATTGTCCTCGCCCTTTTCTCCTTCTTCCTCTCTCTCTTGTCTCCTCCCCCGTGTGTTCTGTCGCCCTCTCTCTAGAAAACGGTTTGGATGTGCTCTTTGTGGATTTTACCTGTTCTTCCCCCTGTAGGTTCTTTTTTAGTACTCTTTTAGTACTATTTTAATATCCTAGCGGTGTGGATCCACAAAAGCCGCATCCAAAGCGTTTCCTAGACTCTCTCCCTCCCTCTGCTCCCCATCCTCCCCATCCCCCCAAGCCTCTCTCTCCTCAATCTCCCTCGCTCTGTCTCTCTCTATCTCTCTCTCTCTCTCTCTGTTTCTCTGTCTCTTTCTGTCTCCCTGTCTCCTTCCTGTCCTCGCCCCTCTACAGAGAAAAGGGTACCCTTATTCTAACCTCTCTACTGGAGGACCTAGTCTCGCTCTCTCTCTCTCTCTCTCTCTCTCTCTCTCTCTTTCTCGCTCTTTCTCTCTGTCTCTCTCTCTCTCTCTCTGTCTCTCCCTCTCTCTCTCTCTCTGTCCCTTTCTTTGTCTCTTTCTCTGACTCTGGCTCTGTCTCTGTCTCTCTCTCTCTCTCTCTCTTTCTCGCTCTCTGTGTGTCTCTCTCTCTCTCTCTCTCTCTCCCTCTCTCTCTCTCTCTCCCGCTCTCTCCCTGTGTCTCTCTCTCTCTCTCTCTCTCTCACTCTCTCTTTGCAGCGTCACGTCCCCCCTGAGTTGCCTCGGTGTCCGGGCACTGCCCCTTCATGACCCTGAACTGTCTGCTTAGTACTGGCTTTCCCCTTGATTTCCCCTTCATGTCCTTTTCACGTTTCCCACATTTTCCATGTATGTCCCGTTCTTTCGTTGCGAGTCATTTCCCTACATCTCCCGTCGTGCCGATTGGTTTCCTTGTCCTTTGTTTCCCTTTCATTCCCCCTGCACTCCCCTTGTTTGCATTTCTGTCCCTTTCATGTCCCTTTCAGTTTCCCTTTCATTTCCCTTTGCTTTCCTGTCATGTCGACTTCCTACTTCCTCCCCTCATTTCCTTGCACTTCTTTGCGTTTCCCCTTTGCTCCCCAGTATGTCCCAAAAAAAAACTTGGTTTTTCCTTCGTTTTCGCGAGGACGTCAACAAACACAGAGTTTTCCCAGATTTTCGACAAAAGGAGGCAGGAAGCCTAAACCAGCAAAGAGCCGGCAAGGGGATTCGAGCCTGGCAACACCGGCTCCCCGAAGACTACGTTTAGTGGAGCGTCATCAAATTACCGGCGGTACGTGGGGGACCCTAAGCCCTACGTATCAGACGTCGGGCGGGGGGGGGGGGGTCGCGGGGGGGGTTATCCTCTATCCCTCTCTGAGGTACCCGACACGCCTCCGCAATGCCGGCGGACATGGGCTAAAACCTGCGAAACCCCTCCTGTTTGATTTTGAGCCATACCCACATCCCACCTTCCGAGATTAGCTCGGCCAGTTGAAGCAGTTGCCGCTGGTGGCAGTGCAGGAGAGAGCGAAGAACGGGCGGGCTTCGGTTTTCTCCAAATGAAACTGTGGATGAAAACCCATCGAGTTTTCTCAAAACAACCATGAGGGGGTGTCTCTTTTTTTGAGTGGGGGAGACCCAAGCTAAATTGCAGCGTCCCTTTACAACTTACCCACGGAAGCCAAAAGTAGAGGGCTCGTGGCCCGTAGCGAGGGGGACTGCGTTGCTCGGCACAGGGGTGGTTTCTGGCGCCAAATGTTCAGGTCACTTGGCTTCACTGTTCCTGGTGGCTCCCAGCCATCCGTTTCCAAACCCTTTTGGCTTTTTAGTGTTTAGTGGCAACTTCCATTTAAACCACTACAGGTTAAACACTTAGCCGGGGGAGCTGAGGGCAGCCCAGTGTTGTTGACGTGTTCTTTTTGGTTTCTGTTGGTTCCACTTCTTCAGAGCGGTCACTGTCCATTTTTGTCATCCGATAAGGTCCTAGGTCCCCCAGTAGTGCCCTGATACCAATTTTTTTGGGGGAGGGTTCCCTAAAATAGACAGACAAAAATCGCGTACCCTTATTCTAACCTCTCTACTGGAGCACCTAGTCTTTGTCTACGGCCTACTTCTTCGTCCTACGGTGCTCGCTTTTTCTTAGGTGCACGCAGAGACGTCTGAAGTCGAACCTGTGCTTCCATTTGCTTAGGATTATGTTTTATTTTCCCTTGTTGGTTTTGAAAGGAACTTGTCACTACTGATTTTTTTGCACGGGTCTTAACCAAATGGAAGCGTGAGAGAAGATGATTGCCGAGGTCGATCATTTGAATTTCCCGGATGGACAAAACCGGTATGTATAGGGCTTCAAAGACTTCAAAGCTTCACTGGTCCCAGTGAGTTCTGTACGCGTTTTGTTCCCCCCCAAGCTGAAGGGTTGTAAAATATATGCCTTGGACGCCCATGAAGATCCTAAGTTGGTTTGCTAGCGAGCTCTCTTGGAAACCAACCTTTTACTGGGGTTTCCCCCCATTGCGAAAACTGCGTTTTGCTTGAAGAAAACTCACTGGCACCTGCATCTTGTCTAGATTCGGGCAATTCGTTCCTCTGCCAATGCACCCGGTGCAACAAACATGCCAACACGATTGGCCGTACATGGCGACATGTGGTTTCTCGACAGCAACGTCCTGATAAAAGTTCTGAAACAGAACAGAGCTCGCATTTTGTGTGCATCGGAGCTGTCACCCGGCGAAACCACCTCGTGTTTTAGTTTACCTTTGTTTCCCCTTGCCCCCCAGACCGAATGGATCCAAATTGGCGTCCTGCTGAACATGTTTTTTTTTGGCGGGGCTTCCCAAAGGCTCGGGAAGTACCCATCACAGCCCTTGGCTTTGCTGGTCACTCACTTTATGGGGTATATTAGCCTTCCATTGCTCAAGGATATTTGTATTCCCCTGTTGGTCTTAAAAGGGAAGTATCACTACTGGAAATATGTTTTCTTTCTCCAGGGGTCTTAAGCAAACGGAACTAGCCCCTTAAGTAAAGAGGGGTAGAGACCTGAGCATAGATGTTGGCTCGCTTTTTCGGGCAGGATGTGGGCCGCATCGTTGCCGCCATCTTCCAGCAGCCCAGGCCGGTTTGGATCAGCGAAGACTGCGGAGACAGCCGGCACATGGCGCAATTGTGGGCAAAGGGGATGAACCAACGGCTCAACGAATTGATTAACTTTCACGATTGGTCCAGGACCCTCAAAAAATTGTGGTGGGGCTCCGAATATGGTTTCCTTTTGCTTCATAGGCCAAATGTGCCCAAAACTGGGTTAAGCGTGTTCCCAACAAAGAATTCAATCGGGAGAGGGTCTCCCCCAATTCGAGATGTGTTGAATGCCAAGCGCGGAGTAGTCTATTTTGTTGTCCCTTAGAAGAAACCACAAGAGGGAGAATTGGTTTCTAAGGCGGACCTATTTCACCTGCGTTTAGAATCCTAGTTGCCCAAAGCAAATCAACCTTTGGGCCTTTTGTGGTGTTTCTCGTTGCTTTGCGCCACTCCACTCGATCGGAATCCTGAAGTGAGTTGTTTTATGTTTGTGTGCGGCTTCTCCGAGACTTGGACAAGTGGGCCAAAGTTGAGAAACCTGAATCACAGCTTCTCCGAGACTTGGACAAGTGGGCCAAAGTTGAGAAACCTGAATCACAGCTTCTCCGAGACTTGGACAAGTGGGCCAAAGTTGAGAAACCTGAATCACAGCTTCTCCGAGACTTGGACAAGTGGGCCAAAGTTGAGAAACCTGAATCACAGCTTCTCCGAGACTTGGACAAGTGGGCCAAAGTTGAGAAACCTGAATCACAGCTTCTCCGAGACTTGGACAAGTGGGCCAAAGTTGAGAAACCTGAATCACAGCTTCTCCGAGACTTGGACAAGTGGGCCAAAGTTGAGAAACCTGAATCACGGCTTCTCCGAGACTTGGACAAGTGGGCCAAAGTTGAGAAACCTGAATCACGACTTCTCTGAGACTTGGACAAGTGGGCCAAAGTTGAGAAACTTGAATCAACACTTCTCCGAGACTTGGACAAGTGGGCCAAAGTTGAGAAACCTGAGTCACGGCTTCTCCGAGACTTGGACAAGTGGGCCAAAGTTGAGAAACCTGAATCACGGCTTCTCCGAGACTGGCAATGTTTCGGTCTTGGGGGGTTTTGTTGACCAGAAATTGCTTGCCAAAGCCGCAAGTGCCCCATGCAAGTTCCAGAGAATTGGATTGGGGCAATCAATGGTGCATGTGCCGGTGATACTCCTTGGCTTTGGTGTATAGCTTCCCATGTCGAGCTCACTTCTGAATCGAGCTACGCTGCAGGTCCTTTTCTTGAAGATCTAATTCTTAGTGCAGGTTTTAGAGGGTATTGCGGAACTTGCAGATGCATGGGTGTGTGTTGTGGTTTTCTCAGCTGGTTTCAAGGGACACCCACTGGAAATCCGCGTTTTGGGGGGCCATTTGGCAGGGACTATGTGGGCAAGTACGTGCCGGCGTGCGCTGAGCACCTGAATGCGGACGAGCTGGTCCAGCATTTCACCACCGGTCTCAACACCAAAGTGCGCTTCGAGCGCGGAGCTCAGTTGGCTTCTCATGTGGCCATGGTTCAAAACCAATGGTACCATTTTGAGATAGGTGCACCACTCATTTTGGTTTATTTTAGTGGGGATTGGGATGTTCACTGGGGTACGGGGCTTTGACCCATGGCCATGTGGTGTTCAAGGGTGGCCTCTTTAAACCCAAGCAACAAACGGGTGGCCTTGTTTCCCATGGATGATGATTGCAGGAGGTGTTTTTTTGCGCCAGTGTCTGGTCCGTGGGTCGGTTGACTTCTTGCAACCCCAAGAGGTTTGATCAGAATCTCCTGAAATGGATGTTTTGTTCATTCCGGGACTCTCTGACTTCCGGGCGATCTTTGTTTATGCTAGGAAAGCTTTTCAGCTTTGGCACCGGGGCAAGAAGCTGGGGCTTGTGCTGTTTGGCCTGGGTTACAACCCTCCTTTCTTTTTGGAGGAAGAAAAGCACAACCAGGTTTACGAAAAGGGGAAGTGGATTCTTCGGTCACGCCACCCTTTAAGGAGTAGCCTGCCCAATATTATTTTTGCGAGTCACGACATATGAGCCAGAATCAAGTGTGTTTCGGTTGGGTAAAAATTGAGGTCGTTTCGGGGAGACATGTAATTGTTCCATGTTCATGAAACCCGCTTTGACCAGAAATGAAGGGGGCGGGAACGTAGCCGTGGTTGATCCGTCCAGTTCGGTCCTTCATCTCGCCCAGAAAAGTGGACTTCAACGTCTACTCAGCGCACAACACCCACGCGGCTTGGCTTCGGAATACAACGGACATATTATGTCTTTTGTGCTTGTTTTGGTAGACAGTAGATGGAGATTCCTGCTTGACCTGGCTGTTTCAAAATCTATCGGGGCCATCTATTTTTCCCAAAAGGACATCTATCATAGGTGACTCACTCAGGAGAAATAATTGACCATGTTTCCCAAGGTGAAATGTTTCACTCATCTATGCCTCCCAGGGTGAAATCATTTCACCTCACCTCGCTCAGTTCTCCAAAGCAAATCGACATGGGGGTGTCTTTTTGTGGTGGACCCCCCAAAACGGTGGTTTTCTTTTGTGGTGTCCCTTTCAATCCCACCAAAGAGGGTACCCTCAAAAAAGACAGACCCAGATGCTTTCGCTTTTTGGTGTTCCCTTTTGGGCCTCCAGCAGCCCTTTCAATCCACGAGCGGAGGAGCGTACTCAGGAACCGTTCCCCTTTGACTGAGTAAGGTGGCTAGTTCCCCCACCTAGGTGCCCTTTCTCACCCTTTTTTGGGGGGAGGCTTCCCCCACTAAAACTAAAATAATCTAAAATAGACTAACGGCAAAACAAATCGGGTACCCTTATTCTAACCTCTCAAGTCTGGACCTAGCCTTTAGTTTTGCCACATCTCAGTTGCCGGAAATCGACTGGATCTGACCTTTCGGTTTATACCCAAGATGGCTCACAGAAGGGGCACTTCAGGGAATGGACCGTGCTTCTGACCGATCACAGTCTGGCCAAGCGACTCGTATCAGAGATCTCAAAAACGGGTTTCTGTGTTTTCCTTTGGGCTGGGAGGGGGAATTACCCTCAAATACAAAAACGCCCAAATCGTTAAGTTGGTCTTAAAGTCGCCCACAACCCCATTCTAATGATGTAGCCTTCCCAGACGGAAGCCAGTTGCCTCTCTCAAGCTCGCTCGCCCCCATGATTGAGGACCTCTGCTTGATGTTTTTCTTATCTCAGGGTTTCGAAAATTGACAGAATACAGGGCGGTTGTGCCTTTCTTCAATGACACCTAGCTTAAAAGGAAACCAAAAGGAAACCAACCTTTTTTTGGGAGTCCCCTATTTTAAGACAGCCTGTCTTAGACCACCTCAATTTGTTTTCACTCTATTCACATGAAACCCTCTTATTGGAGGCCTTATTGGAGGGCCTTGTTTTTTTGGAAATCCGGCCTTGAAACTCTTTTCCACGGGGTTTTGGGTCGATTTCTTGAGGTTTGATTGCGACTTACCCGAGTTTGCACCCTTTGGGCTTTCTGGGTCTTCTGGGTCTTCTGGGTCCACCTTTGATACCATCGGAGACGGGAAAGAAAAAACTTTTTTGGGGGAGGGTTCCCCTAATAAAATAGACAAAAAAACAAGTTGGCCAACTTTTCTAACCTCTCTACTGCAGGACCTAGGCTGCCTTTTTTGCCCATGTCCCAAATCCCCCCGCGTGTCCCAAAGCGGTTGCCGTTAGACCCGGGCGCTGGGAGCTAAAAAGTTTGGGGCGCTCAAGGTGCTGGGGTCACGGATCTGGACCAAGATCATGCTCTACGCCAAGTTCTACAACCAGGATGCCTTCAAAAGAAGTGCGTAATAAAGAGCCTCTTTATAGATATATACATATATATATATGTATCATTAGTAACTATATATTTAGACATGGTGTGGATGAAAGTATGTGGGACGGGGCTAAAGCAACCTTGGGGTAATCCAAAAGTGGCACCCCTGGGTGGGTTCTCATTTGGATTCCCAAGACCTCCAGTGGGTGCAATGTCGTCAACTTCTTTTTTGGAGGGGGCAACGCCTTCAAGCACACCAAAAAGCGCCAGACAAAGGAAGAGAGAGAGAGTGGGAGTCGCATTGGGAGTGGAGATCCTTTCTGGCACCCTGGGTAGAAGCATTGGGCTTATCTAGAATGGACATAAAACCCTTGGTGATTCGTATCCCCTCCAACCATCTCCAACCCACTGCGTCGCCACAAATGCACGCAAGGGACGAACCAAAGCAAACCGCCCGTTCGCCTCATGGACATCCCGAAATCCTACAGTGGATGTGCAGACGAACCACCTCCTTCCATTTGCTTCAGAATGTGTTAAAAAAGAATATATATATATAGATTATTATTATTATTATTTTCCCCTATTGGTTTTGAAGGGACTCTATGACTACTGGAAATATTCTAATTTTTCCAGGGGGCTTAAGCAAATGAAAGGCTCGCTACCATGGAAACTCAGAAAGGGTCCCTGGGCACTTGTCTTCCCGGCACCTTCCCAGCGCCTGGATGAACTTACATGTCCCACTTCGTGACTTCAGTTTAGCACAGTTTTTGGAGCATGTTTAGCAAACCAAAGTTTCTCATGCTTACTCTTGGCCCAATCTGCTCCGCAAGTGAAGCCGCGCTTTATGTCCCGTTGCTGGCTACCACAGAGTCGTCTCCGCCAGCGAGGACTTGCTGAAACGCAGAGACCCGGCGGAGTCCAGGCGCGGTTGGAGCAGAGGTCCCTTTTGAGTCGGTGTGAAATGGATGGGGTTCCGCGGGTTTACATCGGTTTTCTGCCCCATGGACCAGGGAAGGCCAAGAAAAATTATGTTTCCGAAAGGTGAGTCGCCTGTTGGGATGTGTGTTTTTTCTCTCCAGGAAAAAGCCATACAAGGGTTCACTTTGGGAGTGGTCGAATGGTGCTCGCTTTCGAGAAGCTGACAAGGGCCCTTAACGGTCGGTCCGGTTCGCCTGGGCAAGTCGCTTTGGGCTCTCTGGGGCTCTCGAGGCAAATGCCTTTCAGAAGCATCTGAATGTCAGTTGAGTTCCGTCAAAGAAGCCTTTTTGGGCTTGGGCGAGTGTAGTAAACTAAAAAGTTGGGCGACTTTTTTTGGTCCCAAGAGTGGTCAACTTGTTGTTGTTTATCTTGGCTACACTGCAGCGGCTACACGTTCTTCGCATAGGTGTCCTTTTTGGCTGTTTTGCTAGAACAATAGATGGCCCTGGTTTACCTGGTGGTTTGATCATCTACCAGGGCCATCTATTTTTTCCCTAAGAGGACACCTATGGTTCTTCGACGTTCTTCCTGCAACGGACGGTTTTTGTTTTTGGACACTTCAGGCGCTTGGTGCCGGAGATGCTGAGCTTTGCAGATTGGGTCAGCCAGCACCAGCAGGACTGACTTGCCCAAAACCCCACGCTTTCGAACTGTTGAACGTTTAGCTTCCATTTGCTGAAATGAATAGTTATTCTTTCCCCTTGTTGGTTTTAACAGGAATTTGTCACTACTGGACATATATTTTATTTTTTCCAGGGGTCTGAACCAAATGGAAGTTATTGGGGATTATGAGGCCCCTGATTGATTATTTCAGGGGTGCCCCCCTTTTTAGTGGGGATTCAAACCTCTCTTGGAGACAAGAACACCTCATCAATATAGCCGGATAATTCCTCCCGGGTCAATGGTGTTTGTTTCCTTGGTGTGGGCTCTCTCGACACAAGGCTTACGTAAGCTCTGAGATGTTTGCTTTTTTCACCCTTCCATTTGCTTAAGACTATTTTTCCCTTGTTGGTTTTAAAAGGAATTTATCACTAGTGGAAATAGTTTGCAGCTTTTCTTCCAGTCGAAAAAACCAAATGGAAGCACCTGGAGGAGATCGAGACTGTCGCGGAGCCACCCGACACTTTGCCGGACGTCCCGCCTCGCCATGAGTTGATGGATCATGTGGAGGTTTGAGATCGGATCTGCAGTGAGGCCTCGCGAAGAAACACGGCAGCCGCCTTTTGTTGCGGTTGCGCCCCAGTAGTGCCCTTCTCTCCCCTTTTCTGGTTGGGAGGGTTCCCCTACTAAAATAGACTACAGGAAAAAGTTGGTACCCTTATTCTAACCTCTCTACTGGAGGACCTAGACCCTTTTCGGTGGGTTTTTCAAGGAAACCAAAAGGAACACCACCCTTTGCTTAGGGGTACCTAAGAGACGACAACGGCACATTATCGCTGTTTCCTTTTTCTTCTGCTCATGCGAGCCACACTCAGAACCCGAGTAGATGAAGGTTACTAAGGGATAGTCCTATCCATAAACAGGTGCAGCCGCCCTTGGGTAGACCATTCGAATACCAGATTTTGATTGTGACGGCGCTTTGGGGAGGTCCCTTTTGAAATCAAACGTAGGGCTCGGGGCAAAAGAGGGTCACTAGTTTAAATCCCGACTCAAACATTGCCGAAATCCAGCGAGTTGTCTCAGCCACCCGATAGTTGAACCATGTTTCTGGTTGCTCTCCTGCAGATTAACATGGATTGCCAAAAGAACACCTTTTCTAGAGGAACTGGTTGAACAAGGTAGGAAGGCCTATACAAACCTGTCAAGGACTGTTGTCATGTACCCTTCAGATCCTCAGCGACCCACGCTGGGAATGCAGCCATTCGCACTCGCTTTCTTCTCGCTGCGCAGCTTGCGGCTTGGAATGAGCCCCAGGGTTCCGGCTGGTTCGAAGCTCTTTTGGAAGGGCTTGAAAGGTGAGATAACACCCTTTGGTTTGCCTTTGAACCCGCTCCAAAAAGGGCACCCACAAGAAATACAGACCCTGGACTTCGAACTTTTTGCCGGAGGCGTTTTCATCTTTTTGATGTTGGCCTATCAACTCCGATCAATTGGAAATTGCTTCAGCTCAGTTGTTCGAAAGGCGGGCGACATGGCACGAATGTTGCTAAAACACACGTTGTTCATTGGTTGTTATATGGTCGGATTGCTTCAGCATTCCGTCCATGCATGTTGACATCCGGTGCCACGGATTTAAGAAGAACCTTCTCGGCTGGAAAAAGCGTGCATGCCAGGTTTTGGACCAAAAAAGGGTTCCTTTCTTTCCCCAGGGTCACTGAACAACTGAGTCAAGGTATCTCACGGCCACGTTCAAAGCCGTGTTATTGCGCCCACGAACGTGAAAAAAACGTTGGTTGAACCGGGAAAAAACGTGAGTTAACTTGATTGGTGTTTTTGTTGCCCATTGAAGTCACACTAAAATTTTGTGTCTAGGTTTCACTCGAGCAACTCGGAGCCAAGAAGGTGTTTTTCAGACCGCTTATAGGCAAGCCGAGACCTCCAGCGCCCGTCGCGTTCACACGGGGCCTTCCCTTGAAAGAATTGCTGGGTGAATTAGAACGACCTCACACGACCACACCCCAAATGGTGGTTTATGTGGGGAATAGCCCCCCTATTTCAGGCTGGTTACATATTGTCATTCATTTAGAAACTTAGGCCCACAGAGTTCGTAAAGAGCCAACGAGGTGATCGAAACCATACCCGGGTAAACATCAACTTCCAAAAACAAGCCCCGCATTTTCGAACGAAGATGTTGGGCCTAAAGACTACCAGGGGCGTCTGGAAGATCATTCTAACTGACCGTGCAGGTATGTTTTGTTTTAGTGCCAAGAAAGGGGTCGTATTTTCCCAGATCCCAGTTACCATGGTAGGTCAGGAGCCATGTGTTCAGTTTTGAAGGGTGGTTATACAGGCAAATGGATCTGGGTTTGGTTCCAAAGTTTTTCCTAGTCCCGTAGAATCCCATCCTTGATTGCCGGGACCCCGAGAAGAATTTCGCGCTTTGGGTGTCTGAAATCGAGACACCACCCTCGACTTCGGCTGCTGGAAATGCGAATGAACCGGAGCTGACCCTTCGGTTTCCCGTGTTGGTGTATTGTCTTCCATTTGCTGAAATGAATAGCTATTCTTTCCCCTTGTTGGTTTTAATAGGAATTTATCACTACTGGACATATTTTTTATTTGTTCCAGGGGTCTTAACCAAATGGAAGTTGTTAGTGACCCTCAACTTTCTGGTTCTCTGCAGGGAAGGAGAAATGGAGTCACCCCTATAAACCATCCCCTCTGGTTTCGTTGAAAGGAATCCCTAGGTTCATTCCCAACACCCGTGCTCGGACATTCCCTACTAAGCACCAGCAAGCCAAAGGTGAGTGACCGCCTTTTTTTCCTGAGTCAAAGAACAACTGGCTGTGGGTCAAAACCCATGGGATCCCATTTTGGTTAGTAGGCGCCCCACCCATTTTAGAACCTATTTTAGTTGGGATGGGGATGTTCACTGGGGTACGATTTGGATTTTGACCCATGGCCAACTGAGTTCTGCTCATGGCACAACCTGCCCAAAAGGAGCAGATCGCAAAAAGGCGCGAGCGGATGGCAGCGATGGTTTACCTGGGAGTAAAACCCAGTTGTGCAGTTGCGCCTTCTAAATTCACGTTTCTTTGGCTGGGTTCCCCCACTCAATATGATCAACCCAACAAAAGCTCCTGGGCGACTGGGAAAGTGTTACATCAATCAGTGGTTTGTCCCACAGGTGGTTCTTTCCGTGGTGATTTTGCGCGTGTAGCTGTTGTATGTTTCCAACAGGTTCATGTTTGCCGCAGGCCCATGGAACCCTCAAAGGTTTGGTTTTCGTCTTGCGCCGTGTTTCCTAGTTCCCCTATCTTGTTCCTTCTTTCCCCTACGAGTGGAAGCAGTCGTGGCTGGTGGGGATTTGACGCACCCGACAGTTGAAGTGGCAACTGGGGCCACCTTGCACC